AGAATAGTTGGTCAAGTCGATAGTCTACACGCAATTTGTCCACCAGGATGGTCTTGATGTGTGTGTGGTGCCTGGGACCCATGGCACTAGTCGTTCGTTGTTCAGTGCCAAACATTCTCTTCACCTCGGATCTATTCAGAGGATCCGGATTAGCTTGGATGCTCCTGTTATGAGACAAATTTTACTGATCCTGTATTTTATATGATCGCCTGACGTCTGACTTCTTTACGATTTCAAACCTGTAAAAAAGTCTGTGTCTCTGTCTTTCTGTGTCTGTGTCTCTGTCTCTCCCCAATCAACCGTCACAACTGGGAAAGACAGTGAACCACTTCTTGAAAAACATAACATTTACAATACATTTAAATTTACAATTAGAGGAGCACAGACTCGTAACTTCACCCATAAAGTCGAGGTCCCCAAGTTGTGTCACTGACGGAGGTATTGTCGTTAATCCAAAAAGTCTCACGTGGGATTATGACGCAAAACGCCGAGGAAAACGCAGCAGCCGTGACGCAGCGCGCTGTGTGCGTCGCAAACCCTTGCAGCTCCACGCAATGTATAATACAACAGTTGCAACGCAACACGCGGTGTATGATGCAAATACAACAACATTATTAATAATGGTAGAGCCCATTTCATGTGGCTTCCATCTCACGGTGCCCTCCGAACGCTCTATAAGGAGCTGATGAGCTAGCCAAAGACTCTACCTTCAAAAGAGAGCCGAATATAACCTTGGATTACCCCTATAAGCACCCTGAGAACAATAACACACCAAATTCTTCAACAAATCCTTGTATCTATGAGGCAAAGTGAAATCGACACCAGTAATGCCATCTATCATCATACTATCATGCAAGAGGAGCCACACATCTTTGGATCATACGAGAACATTAGCAGACTCCTAAGTGTTGCTACTGCTCGGCTTAAGACTCGCCCTGTAAGTATCTCTTGAAAATTTGCTCACGTGATGGGTATAGGGTGCATAATAAACTAACTAAACTATGGTGGGATGGTCAAACAGGTTGTGGGGGTCTACACGTGGTATCTACTTTGGCTGATGCTTATCTATCGTCCAGTAGCACTGAGGGTGGTGGTGGTGCCATCTTCAGGGAGATCCAGGAAACTTGTAAGAAGATGGACCTTGTAAGAACAAGTACAAGAAGAATTACTTGTAAGTAGAACCTAGAATGTTGTTACAGGTTTGTGCCAATAGGCTCAGAGACCCTCTGGACGCCTAGGGTAAATGTGCTCTTTAAGTTCCCGAAGGAGGTGGGCGAGGAACTCATTAGGCAAACTTGAGACCCAAGAGCAGCCAGTAGCCTGTTCCCCTGCCTCAGTATGGCGATTCAGAGAGGAAATGCTAGCTGTATCTTGGAGGACTCCTTCCACTTCTGAAGAGGTGCAATGAGTCCCACACATCTAAAGGACTTGATGTGGTCTTTAAACAGTGATTGTTACACGTGTTTCTGTAAACTATAACACAATTAAATAAATCATATTGTATAATATATTAAAATAGTAGAGATGGTCAGAGAGAAATTCTCAACAAGCTATGAGTGGATAATCTGCAATGTTTTTCCTGAATGCCCTTTATTCTCCTCTCCAAGACTATGGGTCCTCACAATTGCACCACAGGAGGTACTCCTATATTTATAAAACGATAAAAGAAAAATATTAAAAGAACGCCCAACACGAAATTGCAATCACATTCTCTGTAAATATTCCTGTCAATATTGGACATTTCTCATTCAAAATCATATTCGAACCTCGCCAGAGGCGGTCCCAAAATATTATATAATATAATAAATTCTATAAATATAATTTCACAAATGGAAAGCTATTAATGGGTTTCCGGTGTAACCTGCACTAAATTCAACGTAAATTAGTTTTTTTGTTTACTATTATTTTCTACCACAGACGAGGCCACACATTTACAATGCTAACCAGCATATGTACATTTTCTTCTGGCCTCTATGGACAGGGTTAGAGATCTGTTAAACATATAGTTCAGTTATTTATTGAACAATCAACCACAAAAGGTGATTGTAGGGCTTTTAAAATGCTAATCTAACCTACAAACAAATATCCACCGATTTACGTCTGTCATACATAAACAGTGTTCAAGGCGTCTTTTACATAGCGTCATTAATGTGTGTTTACAGAGGTGAAATGCGCCGTAAACACAGTGTTGGGCAGAATAGGTCAGATGTCCGTGTTGTGCCTGGCACGTTCTCTATGGTGCCCAGCAGCAGTAACTATGATAGACCGACACGTCTCTGTCTCTCTGTCTCACACACATTTATTACTCTCTACTCTCTCTATTTCCTCGATATTGCATCATATTTAAGACCGAATACATATTATAAGCCTAGGAAAAAATTATATCAATACCTGAGCATCAATGATGCTGTACTTAGTACTGTACTGAGAAGTCTGAGGCTGGAGTACCAAGGAGTGTGGTAGTTCGTGTGATATATAAAAGTATATCAACATTCATATAAGAGTATATCAACACAACACTGAAGAGTATATCAAGACTTATACCAATACTCTCCCTCTACACATATGGGGCATAACTGGCCCCCATATGTGTAGAGGTTCGAAAGTGAATTTGATAAACACCTCCAAAAGATACCTGATCAACCAGGCTGTAATTCACACGTCAGACTGTGAGCCGCGGCGCCAAAACAGTCTGATTGACCAGACCACCAACCAGGAGGCCTGGTCGAAGACCGGGCCGCGGGGACGCTAATCTCCGAAATCATCATCATCATCAGATGAGCCAAGCTCCGAAATCATCAGTCGTGATCACGTGACCAGACACGAACACCACCATCGTTTCATCTCTTGAATAGATCTAATGCTAATATTAATCTAATATTCGTGTCAGCTTCGCTATTTTGGCTCGCCTAAACTATCAGCAGCAGTAAAACCGGAGGCGATTCAGCTCTGAGGCTCAAGGGGACACATGGGCTTGTGTCTTGGCCAACGTATTTCATCAGATCATGTTATATAGTTGTCGCCTCCTCTCTTTATGAAGTAAAAAGTATTTTTAAGACTGGATATAACAATTCACCTAGTTGTACTTGCGGGGGTTGAGCTCTGGCTCTTTGGTCCCTGGTGTACATGTGTTGTTTATTGGTACACACACACGACACTGGAAGACAGAGGAGCAAGGGGAGACATGATCACTACCTACAAAATTCTCAGAAGAATTGACAGGGTAGATAAATTGTTTAACACAGGTGGTTGCGAACAAGGGGGACACAGGTGGAGATTGAGTACCCAAATGAGCCACAGGGATGTTAGAAAGAACTTTTTCAGTGTCAAGAGTAGTTAACAGGTGGAATGCATTAGGCAGTGATGTGGTGGAGGCTGACTCCATACAAAGTTTCAAATGCATATATATGATAGAGCCCAGTAGACTCAGGAACCTGTACATCAGTTGATTGACGATTGAGAGACGGGACCAACGGACCAGAGCTAAACCCCCGCAAGCCCAACTAGGTGAGCACACACACACACACACACACACACACACACACACTGATTTATAGGTGAGTACACATACACACCCCATTTATAGGCAGACAGTGACCGCCCTTTGGTCGAACGGCCGCTAATATTAGACCAACCAGAAAGCACTACGGGCTCACCATAGCCCGTGCTACTCACACACACACACACACACACACACACAAGAGAAAGATCTAGGAGTTGATATCACACCAAACCTGTCTCCTGAAGCCCACATAAAGAGAATAACGTCTGCGGCATATGCGAGGCTGGCTAACATCAAACCGGCGTTCAGGAACCTGTGTAAGGAATCATTCAGAATCTTGTACACCACATATGTAAGACCAATCCTGGAGTATGCGGCCCCAGCATGGAGCCCGTACCTTGTCAAGCACAAGACGAAGCTGGAAAAAGTCCAAAGGTATGCTACTAGACTAGTCCCAGAACTAAGAGGCATGAGTTATGAGGAAAGGCTGCGGGAAATGCACCTTACGACACTGGAAGACAGAAGAGTAAGGGGGGACATGATCACAACCTACAAAATCCTCAGGGGAATCGACCGGGTAAACAAAGATGAACTATTCAACACTGGTGGGACGCGAACAAGGGGACACAGGTGGAAGCTGAGTACTCAAATGAGCCACAGAGACGTTAGAAAGAACTTTTTCAGTGTCAGAGTAGTTAGTAAATGGAATGCATTAGGAAGTGATGTGGTGGAGGCTGACTCCATACACAGTTTCAAATGTAAATATGATAGAGCCCAATAGGCTCAGGAATCTGTACACCAGTTGATTGACGGTTGAGAGGCGGGACCAAAGAGCCAGAGCTCAACCCCCGCAAGCACAATTAGGTGAGTACAATTAGGTGAGTACACCCCCACAATCACCTTTAACCTCCTCCCCCCCCCATCTTCTCGTCCCCCATGTCTCGCTGCCCCGAAACCAGTACATCTTTCAACAAGGATAACAGCCTTGTTGACATATTTTCAACAGTTGACGAGCTTCGAAACCTCACAAACCCACAACGATTGCTTGATTGCTTAATAACGATTACTGAACTATTGACGCCTTTAGCTTTGAGTGGATGGACTGACCCCAGCTTGCCGTGGTCAACGGTCCAATGACACCTGACCTCACCTACCCTCCCGGTCACTACAGGGGGGGGGGGAGGGGGGTCAGAGGCGGGGGCGCCAGGATGGGGGAGGGAAGGGAGAGGGGGGAAAAGTTTGTGATTAGCTTCACAGGAAGGAAACAGGATATTGGGGGGAGAAGGCAGGATTGGTTGGAGACGAGAGGAGGGGGGGGAGCAGGAGACGGGAACGGGGCCAAGTGCTGATGCTACTGTGCCAAGACACAGTAGCAAATGACCTGAATCCCAGATGGATGATTACGACACGGAAGGGAACCATGCTGCCCGAGGCATGGTATCCCACATATGGTACCCCCCCCCCCACATGGTCCTCCCCCCCCCACACACACACACACTTGGCCACACCAACCATGCTACAATAACCATCTTCGAGGACAATTACCACCTCAATAACGACAGCCATTGGAGCTCTGTTGCTGGACAGCAACAGAGCTCCAGCCATACACAGGTATGTTGTAGCAATGACGATCAAAGGACTCTCAAAATGCACAGAAGGTAAACTCACACTGTATGTGCAGGATAATCTTAAAGTGATCCTTGGAATCATTCCAAGCTCGGTAGCCAAGGAGGTCTAGGTAAGGGGAGGATGCAGATTATAATCAATTTGACATTTCCTTTCAAGCTGTATCTGTTAGACTGCGAGGTGCAGAGCAGCAACAGTTTGATCGATCATTCCCAAGGCCTGGTCTGACAATGGGCAAGGAGAAGGGCGCTGTGCCTTGAACCACGTCAGAGTTTTAAGGTAAACAAATTTCCCAGACTCCAAAACACACTCCAAGCCAACTCCAAGGACTTTTCCAGTCAAAGTTCTCCAAGTAGAATCAAATGAATTTTCAGAGTAAAATTCAATCGAACTCTCAAAGTAAATTCGCATAAAAACTCCAGGTACACTCAACCAAACTTGGCGTAAAGTTCAATTAAACTTCAAGCCACAAGTTCAGGTAAAGTCCGGGCACACAAGTTCAGGGTGTAAAGAGTGATATTTCTTCAAGAAACTCCAACAGTGGTCCAAAACACAAACTTACTGAAATATCTCCTCCAGTCGTATATAATTACACGCGAGACTTTATCAATATCCTATCTCTCGAAAACACATTATTCATTAAGACAGGATGCCTTACCTTGAGGTTACCTTGAGGTGCTTCCGGGGCTTAGCGTCCCCGCGGCCCGGTCGTCGACCAGGCCTCCTGGTTGCTGGACTGATCAACCAGGCTGTTGGACGCGGCTGCTCGCAGCCTGACGTATGAGTCACAGCCTGGTTGATCAGGTATCTATGCCCAACAAAATATAATTAGGCAAGTAGGCCTGAAGATACAATTTAGAATTAGGTCTAAATAAAGATACAATTTGGCATGTAGGCCTAATTGATAATTTTGCAAGCAGGCCTAATTTAAGATACATTTAAGACACCATTCAAGTCCTCTCTCCTGCCTGATTATAGCTCATATGAGGGGAGAGTGAGGGGAGAGTAAGGGTAGAGGGGGGGCAGTGAGGGGAAGTGGCAGACAGTGGATAGATGAATGAATGGCAAAGGGTAAAGATAGGCTTCCTGTCTCTCTCCCAACTATCCTGCCTCCCCCCCCCCCCATCCTCCCACGGGGTACTGGTGCACGGGGGGTACTGGGTAGTGCACTGGGGCACTAGGTCGTGCACAGAGCAGGAGTGATAAAGCAAGAGAATGAGGGATTATAGAACACAAGAAGATAACAAATAATGACTTAAGAAAAAGATAACGATAAAATCTTGTGTGGGCGTCTTACCCCTACCTTGAGGTGGCTACCTTGAGGTGCTTCCGGGGCTTAGTGTCCCCGCGGCCCGGTCGTCGACCAGGCCTCACAACAAATACCCAAACAAACCACCCCCTTCACCAAGGCACGCTGAACGAGCCCTTCTTTACTACAAGTTCAAAGACCCATTTAAACATCTGAAAATCATCTCAACCAAAAACCATTTTCAACGCAGCGGCATCAAATACAAGTTAATCGTTTCCAGGTTAAAATATGGCTTACGCAGTAGGAAACTTACGATAGATAACAGGTCTATCGATATCCATATTTTGGCCGATAATATATAAACGCCGATACCACGATAGCGATATGAAACGTATATATGTCGTCATATTTAAAACTATGCTCCCACCTATATAATAATAATAATAATTAATAATAATTAATTATAATACAGTATCTGCTGAAATGTGACATCTCCAGATATCGCAAATATAGGCCTATATGCCTCTGATAGACACATCACATCAATCGATTGTGGCCGGCGGTTCGAGGACCCGCTTCTCCAGGCGAATGAAATATTATCTACGTGATGTGGTGATTAGTAATTTATATGACTAGGACAATCATCATGTGATCACCTGATCACCTACATGTCAAGGTGGCACCCACAAGCATATTACGGTACCAATAATAGTTTACTTGTAAACTGGCAAGTGAAACTTTGTCCTAAACAGAGAATTGTGTCAAGTTTTAACTTTATTGTATTATAAATGTAATTATAGGGGATACTCAAATAGTTTTCAAATATGATATTTCAGGTGTTTGAAAATATATTACATATATTTATAATAGCATATTAACGTAACCAAACGTAATGAAACCTAACCTAACTATGGATAGGGAATAGATAATAGCCCTAATTGCAAAGTGGTTTTAAAGTGATTAACTCCAACTTATCACCTCACTGAAGTCAGGTTGATTTAAAATTATATATAAACTCCCAGCGAAACAAAGTTCATACCAATACCGGAGGAGGAGTAATACCAATTGAGGAGCCGGTCGGCCGAGCGGACAGCACACTGGACTTGTGATCTTGTGGTCCCGGGTTCTATCCCGGGCGCCGGCGAGAAACAATGGGCAGAGTTTCTTTCACCCTATGCCCCTGTTACCTAGCAGTAAAATAGGTACCTGGGTGTTAGCCAGCTGTCACGGGCTGCTTCCTGGGGGTGGAGGCCTGGTCGAGGATCGGGCCGCGGGGGCACTAAAGCCCCGAAATCATCTCAAGATAACCAAGATATACCAATGAAGACTTAAGAGCATACACAGTCCCATGAAATAAACGCCAATAACAATTTAAAGCAGCAAGAACAGTGACCGTCAAGCGAAACCGAGAAGAACAAAATTTGAGAACAAAAATAAAGTTTTTTTTTAACGAGCTCAGCAAACTCGCTCGGTGAATATTTAACCCGAGGACCACAACACAGCGCCAATCTACGCCCTGCTGAGCAAACACTCCTCTGCTCATTCCAACGGTGGATATCAAAAAGAGGTTTGTATACGATCATAAGCACAGCTCCCCTCATCACAGACTCCTAGGTAAACAATGTTCTTCTATCAAGAGGAGGGGGGTATATATTTGGATTTTTTTTCATCCTTCCGATATCCGATTTTTGTCTTGTTTTCATAATGGAGGATGCAGCGGTTTCTGGTGCAGTGAGTCTTTTGTTCCTTACAATATAGTGTACACGGGCCTCGATCCTGGGATTAAAATTTCAAGAGCCCAAGCGGCTCTTGCGCTCAGGCCTTCAGGCCCAAAAACCCATCATTATATATTGCGTCCCAGCACCCATCTTCGACAGCCACTCTCCTGGTTCAAAAAGGTGTCCAGCAGCGGGACACCCTCATAAGGACTGTCAAGCAGCAGTATCCTCTCCCCCGCGATAGCAGCTTGACGATTAAATGCGACCTCAGAACACTGAAAAGAATTACTGAACAAAAAATTGTACCACTTACGGGCTATTCATGCCCGTGCCACCTTTTGGGTGGCTTAATCTTTATCAATCACACGAGGAAAACTTTTGAGTAATTGAAACTGATCGATAAGTTAACGATGAATGTCCAGCCACTCTGATGGGGAAGCCAACACTTTGTCAATTCAACGAGGAAGCCAACACTAAGGCAAGACAACGTGGAAGTCAAAACAATGCCACTATAACGAGGAAGCCAACACTAAGGCAAGACAACGTGGAAGTCAAAACAATGCCACTATAACGAGGAAGCCAACACTAAGGCAAGACAACGTGGAAGTCAAAACAATGCCACTATAACGAGGAAGCCAACACTAAGGCAAGACAACGTGGAAGTCAAAACAATGCCACTATAACGAGGAAGCCAACACTAAGGCAAGACAACGTGGAAGTCAAAACGATGCCACTATAACGAGGAAGCCAACACTAAGGCAAGACAACGTGGAAGTCAAAACAATGCCACTATAACGAGGAAGCCAACACTAAGGCAAGACAACGTGGAAGTCAAAACAATGCCACTATAACGAGGAAGCCAACAGCAGGGTAAGACAACACGGAATCCAACACTATGCCAACATACTAAATCCAAAAGAATGAGCAGCAGCAGCAGCACGAAGCCAAAAAAAAAAAAAATGGGAACAAAACCATTAATCTCGAAACAAAAAAAAGGGAGGTTTTGTAGGCCTATATCTGACTCTTGGAGAACAAACGGTTGACAATCCCACAATAACCCATACAAGTAAGGGCCTCTATGGACCCACGTTCGTCAAAATGTCGTTTACTTCCCTTCAGCGCCAACACGACGGCAATTTCGCAGTTAGCGGCTTGACGCAGGTTAACGAGGCGAGGAGCCCGCCAAGTGAAGCGGTACATTCTTGAGGTTATCTTGAGACGATTTCGGGGCATTTTAGTGTCCCCGCGGCCCGGTCCTCGACCAGGCCTCCACCCCCAGGAAGCAGCCCGTGACAGCTGACTAACACCCAGGTACCTATTTTACTGCTAGGTAACAGGGGCATAGGGTGAAAGAAACTCTGCCCATTGTTTCTCGCCGGCGCCCGGGATCGAACCCAGGACCACAGGAACATTGTTTACATTCTCCAGCTGGTTTCCTCTTGGGTCCTTACTGCCTCAAAATACTCCGTTTTCTGTTCTTTTTTAAGCAAGATGTATAGTGTCAGAGATATGGGGAGCCGGTCGGCCGAGCGGACAGCCCGCTGGACTTGTGATCCTGGGTTCGATCCCAGGCGCCGGCGAGAAAGAATGGGCAGAGTTTCTTTCACCCTATGCCCCTGTTACCTAGCAGTAAAATAGGTACCTGGGTGTTAGTCAGCTGTCACGGGCTGCTTCCTGGGGGTGGAGACCTGGTCGAGGACTGGGCCGCGGGGACACTAAAAAGCCCCGAAATCATCTCAAGATAACTATCACTCGTTGTTGTGTGTCTAACTGCTTGTTTGGTGGACCTGCCGCTGCTACTGTCACTCCAGTGTGTGTGTGTGTGTGTGTGTGTGTGTGTGTGTGTGTGTGTGTGTGTGTGTGTGTGTGTGTATGTGTGTGTGTGAATGTGTGTGTGTGTATGTGTGTGTGTGTATGTGTGTGTGTGTATGTGTGTGTGTGTATGTGTGTGTTGTGTGTGTGTGTGTATGTGT